AGGGGCAGAATCACCTCCCTCGACCTGCTGGCCATGCTTCTTTTGATGCGGCCCAGGATACAATTTACCTTCTGGGCTGTGAGCGCACATTGCTGGCTCGTGTCCAGCTTTTCATCCACCAGCACCCCCAAGTCCTTCTCAGCAGGGCTGCTCTCAATCCCTTCATCCTCCAGCCTGTCTTGATACCAGGGGTTGCCCCGGCCCAGGTGCAGGACCTTGCACTTGGCCTTATTGAACCTCATGAGGTTCACATGGGCCCACTTCTCGAGCTTGTCCAGACCTGACTGGAGAAAGCCCTGAGCAACATGATGTAAACTCTGTGTTGAACCTGTGTTAAGCAGCAGGTGGGACCAGAGATATCCTGAGGTGCCTCCCAACCTGAAATCTCTAATTTTGCATCAAGCCTTTTGAACCAAATGATCCTTTTACTTCTAGCATGTAGTTTGCTTTGCATGACTCAATCCCCAATCCTTGATTAACAGGGTGGGAATAATCAACATTTGACTGAAGAAAATCTAACTGGAATACTGGCATCACAGTTTCGTTGTAGAACAGCAACCAAGTCTGATGTCTTGCATGTATAGAGCCCACTTCATCATCAGAGAATGAACTACACCTTCTTTTTGGCTTCCTGGTTTAGCAGCTCTCAAGGTGAACTATGACTGCTTTACATTTTTAGTCCTAATTGTGAACATCCTCAGTTTTTTTGAATGCTAAATCAAATTCAAAGACACTTGAAACCATTGTCTAGAAATTTCCCCCTCAAACACTACCACACTACCAGCGTTAGCACACACTGCTGCTCTTGAAAGAGGTTTATTGCCTTGGAAGATCAGGCATTCCACTGATTTCTTAGCAAGAGCTAGTATTTTAAAGATTAGACTTACGGAGTTGAAACAGACCTCCCTCACAATACATTTCTACAAAGTACACCACTCATCTAGCAATTTTGCTTCATTTCTCTGAAGTGAAGGTGTTTAATAAGCCTTTCCCCATGATTTGTCCTTTTAACTTCTTCCTCTACTTCAGTATGCTTGTCTAACAGATTCATTGCATTTTTACATGCTGTGAATACCTATGTACCTCCAAAAAACCCCATAGTTAGGAGAGCATCAAATATTTACTTTGCCATAGAACTCGTAAAGCAATACAGAACTATTAGTTGAAAATCCTTATAATTCTAGACCTTCCCAACAGGGGACATGGTCCCTGTGTAAGGGTCAGAGCTGCACCAGGAAACTTGTAAGTGTTCAGCTGCACTAGCAGCTGGAATCAGCACTGACCAAGGCTTTGCCCGAAATCTAAAATTGCAAAAGAAAAGTCCTAGATTTTTAATAAATTTTATGTCTCTTTCCCACACCTAAATTTCATTTTTCCTTCACAAAAAGTTTTCTGATGAATCCAGCCTGTCTCTCAAAAAACAAAACAACAACAAAAAAAACCCACCAAACCAAAATTAAAAAAACAAAACAAACAAAAAAACCCAACCAAAAAACCTACCACTAAATACAGAGACAGCAACTGGCTTAGAGAGAAAAGCAGCACTTCCTCCTCCTGCTTCTGCTTTCTTGTCTAACACACCTGACCTGGCATTAGAGGTAATCACAAGCCTGTCACTGGAGGTGTTGCAATTTTAATTGTGTTTGAGGATTCCTCCCCAAACTTCTGATGTTAGGCAGGAAGTAATAGGACTCACATCTGCATTTAGGTTTGGAACATGGCTGTCCTTGTCTCTATATCACTAGTGGAAGGAGTTAGGAGGATGTCTACCTCTCTCAACTGACTACACAGAGACCTTACAGTTATTTTCAGTCCTGCCTTGGGTACCACACTTAGCCTGGTTAAATCCAGGCCCTGTGGATGAACACAGCATTACCCCTCTCCTCTCACAAATGTCTCTACACAGAAAGCCACACTCCTCAGTTAGCAGGATTTGGCTAATGGCACAAAGAAGCAAGAGAAACAAGATAAAAGGAATAAACATTGCTATTACAGATAATCAGGCTCTGCTCTTCCAACAAAAAAAGATGCTGCTTGAATCTCTTGAGACTGAAACATAGGAAAATTTTAAATTAGAAAGACTGTAGTCAATTCTGCATGTAAAACTGTATAAACTTGTCAACACCACTAGCTCTGGCTAGCCGCAATTTCTCTGGAAGGTTCCTGTCCTCCCAGAAGATGCACGGAAAATGGATTATAGGCCAACATCCTGTTATTTCATTGCAAGTGTCAACAGTGGTGATGGACACCAGGTCATAAGAACTCAGACTCCAGGAGGACAAAAGAATACATGAGACACAATAGGCACCCCCAGTGCAAAGCAAAAAGAAGCACCGAGCATTTGTTTTTCAGATCAGCTGCTGGAAAACAAATTACGTGCTTTCCTTTTGGCAGAGTCTGCCAGCCAGTCGGCACATGCAACCTCAGGTTGAGACCCAGCGCTGTTGTCTTTTGCCCGAATCACATTACAGGGAGAGGGGACAACAGAAGCTACGACTTGGCAAAGTGAGTCTGCCAAGAAGTGCGCCCATGCTCACGCACCCCTGCGAGTCTCCAATACTAACACTAATTATTATCTACCTCATCCCATAGCCTCTGCAGAAGTTGGTTTCAAGAACTGCATGGATGCCTGCATCTTACAGGAAGTCATTCAAGAGAGATGGGGAAAATCCACTTTCTGAAGTCCTGCC